TCAATTGTCTCATAGAAAAACTTCTGAAAATCGATATGTCTCTTCGGACCAACAACAACTAGTATGGGGTTATAGGACATCGTGTCGTTGACACTGGCTACAGACAATTTCAACACCTATTTTGATTTTGCTTACCAAAACACCTTTTCTTTCGGGTTACCTAGCAGATACAAATAGTGGGAAATTCACCACATACTTCCCTTGTTAATGAATGAAAGTGCCACTTTACCTAATTGTTTTGAATTTAACTTTTCCAACTTCTTGTTCCAAATAAAGGAGACATCCTAATATGCTGTGTGCATAAATAGGTACGGAATCATTCTAATTCTGTTTTTTGCAGGCGTCCGCATCACGGTGGTGAGTTTCACTTATTCATTTGTCATCACAGTTATAGTAAATGCATCTCTTTTATGACATTAAGTCTTTGAGGCAGTAGAGAACATGATGGCAGATTTGCAGAACGGCAGGAAGGTTTCCGTCATGGACATGGAAGTTTCGAAGATGATAGATTTGGCCATGGCGGTCAAGGAGAATTCGGACAACAAGGCGGTTTTGGTCAGGGAGGAGGATTTGGCCAAGAAGGCTTTGGTCAGGGAGGCTTTGCCCAGCCGGGATTCGGTCAAGGAGGATTTGGTGCTTTCGGATAATTTAGTTGATGTTGGTCTCATTGGTACTTGTTGATGTTTAATTTGTGATAAAAAAGGAAAACCACATCCACCCTGTTGTCGTCCTTTTTTGTTGTTAATTACCCACAAAACACATGCAACACAATGATTAGAGATCAGATTCTTATTTTCATGGGGAATCTAGTTCAGTTTAGCGAACTTTGCTATATACATAGTTTATTCATCATTCCGGTTCCACTATGGCATAAAATCCGGCTGAGAGGTCAAAAAGTTGCCAGTCTCAGAATTTTTTGAAAATGGAAAAAGGAGTACGAAACAGGGGTACGAGAGCAATATTGAGATTCTGGAGTACTATGTTATTCTGCACGCTAACATTCCCAGTATTGCAAAAAAAATTAATGTTATGCCATCTGCTAAGTGAAGTCGGCAAAGCAAAAAGATTGTTACTCTATTTGCAAATGATAGAGAATTTAAAATTCTTGAAAAGTAGAAATCCCAGTATTACTTAAAATAACCCATCAAAATATGGGAGTTTTTATCCTTTTCCGATTTGGAATTACCGGCTTGCTTTCCACGTTAGATGGTCTTTGAGACCTGGGACTGGTTCATATACATCTGCGGCAACGCTTGCCGAAGAGGCGTAGATTATTGGAACTGTTACCTTTGAGCTGAATGCGAAAAGAAGTCAAAATAAGTATAGAAACATATCTTCCAGTGAGTGTTAGTTATTCTGATGGTGGCTTCTTGCATCACTTTATAAACCAAGCATTTGTCTCCAAGTAAATTGGAGTTTTGAAAGGGTGCATTTGAACCTATTTTTCTTCTTCTTCTCGGAAATTGGGCGAGAAGTGGTTTTGTGATTACGAGCCTGGGCATTTGTCGGGCGGAAGTTACTGGATTGTTGTCTGTCTCCGTTTCCTCATGATTCAAGTACACTGAAAAAAGCGGATCAGGATGCCGAATACTGAACTAAATTTCTCGCGAAACATTTCCTAATTTGCTGGAAAAACTTGAACTGTCCTTCACCATCGAGTCTTCAATACCC